ACATACAGTCATCTCAGAATGTTCATATAACTTTTAGTGTTTGACTTACTAATACAGAAAGACTACCTTTGTGAGCGACAAGAAGGGTTTATACCTTCACTATCATCAGAGAACTGTGAAGAAAAACTGTTCACTCTCAATAGATACAAAGCATCAGCAATCCTGCACTCTTTTGTGTACTTTTGAGGCTGGAAGTTGAAGTATATTTTAAAGGGAGGAGTATGAAACTCAGAAAATAATTTCCCACCTCATTTCTAACTGCTTAATATTTTTACAGGAATTCAGCCAATATTTTACATGCAGTGGTAATAATCAAGCACTTACCATACTGTTGGCACCAGCCAGCAGTCAGAGGCAGCTCTCCATAGAGGGGATAAAAGACTGAAACAGCTCACACAACAATATGAAATAGACTTCCCTGTCAAGTAGGAATATCCTGATATCCCTGTATCACTAGTACTCTACTGTCATGCCTTGCCAAAAGCAGAATTTGTCCAAGGGTTTGCTTTCAAAAGGACAGGAGCATTGTATTACTTCCAGAAATAAATTTAAAAAAAAGGAGCAGTACCTACAAATCACTGGGAAAAAAAAAATTAACGCAATCAACACACTGAGCTGTTCTTTACCTGTAGGTTTGTTCTAACTTTGGATGAAACCAAGTGTAAAAACAAACAAACAAACAAACAGTAAAAACAAAACCTAAGGCAAAATTAACATTTAGATATGCATTTGTAATATGAAATACAAAATAAACTTGTGAGGAAGGCTTTCCTAGAGCAACAAAAAATAAATAGTCAGTTTAGGAGCAAACGCGGCTGAAAGCAATTCTAATACCAGTGAATATTAAATGGCTGCTGCATAAAGTGCACTGAAATTTTGCTTCCCACTTACCCATTATTGAAAGGTATAAACTGCAGGTTACACCATATCAACCATATCAAAAGCATTTAAGAAGAGAAAGAAAAATTTAGAAAGGGAGTCTCCAAGAGCATGTTACTGAAGAGTGTGTCAAACTGCACCTGCCTAATGCTGTACTCTTGAGAATTCTCTCATTCCATGACAACAAACTGCATTTCAGTCATTGAAGAAGTCATCAAAATGTTTAATTTGTGACATATATACAGCTGTTGGCACTACTGTAAGAGGCAGAGAGGCTTTAGGTGGTTATCGTAACACTACAGTAAGTAGGCACAACTGCAAGTGCCACACCTTGTGCATGAATGATTTCAAAACATGGGTCTCTGTATGAGCAGCTGAGGATTCAGGTAATATATTCCATCCCCATTTCCAATCCATACTTGAACAGCTCTTACAAAAACACATATTAACTCGACTGTGCTGTGGTACATGGATAAAAGCTTTAAAAAATGCAGATGGAAAATTTAGCTGTTAGCATGCCAAATCAGTGTCAAAACAAAGTCTCATCTCACTATTTTTGCAACCTTTTTGAGATAGGTAAATGGGAAAATGGCAGCATGGTGAAACAGTGCTCACCATGCAATAGTAATGACAAGTTATGAAGGAAAAATTAGACTGTCACCAGCATTTAATGTCATATGAAGTACTGGCATTTACACCTTTAAGGAACATAAGCATCAATTCCATTAGGGACAGTCTGCAGCCCTTTGTGGAGAAGGTAAATATTATTTTATGCATATCAGCCAGCACTCTAGTGGTATAGCAGTGCAAAATGGTATCTTTTCCAAATAAGTTCAGACATGCCTTTTACTGCACCTAGAAATCGGAAATAATTTATCTTGATAGAAGCATTTAAATTTCCAGTATAGTCACTAATGGTAGGTGCCTCTGGAGATCTCCAGAGTGAGATTTGGTCTGCCTAATTTAGACAGCAGACATAGGAGTATCTTCTGCTATGGCAAGATTTCCTGAAATGAGTAAGACTTTATTTAACCTGTAAATACAAGCTCCAAGTAATGTCTATTACTTTCAGAAGCAGTATCTTTTTGAGATTCTCTTCTGAAAGAAGAAACACACTGAAAAGACCAAGGTCCCATTACCTGTAATCACAACTCCAAAATATCACACTTACTTCATAACCTTAGTATTTGAACTTGCAGGAATGATGAATTAATCATGGGTTTAAATGATTGGGGAAGAAAGGAGAATAATTCCCATTACTATTAATGCCATATGAAACTGACTTTGCTTATCTTGATTACCTATTAGAGTGATAGCTGCAGGCTGCAGTACATAAAATGATATGCACTGAACCCATAATTTTCCTGCCTGAAGATAAATGAATGAAGAAGAGTTCATAATTTAAAACTCTCCAATATACCAGTCTATACAAGTAAGGAGTTGTACAGAAGAAGGTGACTTTTTCAAGCCATATTCAGCAATGACTGGTTCAGCAGATCTCATTTAAGTTCCTCTAACTGCACTTTTCTGTTGTGAATACGAACCTGCAGAGTCCAGGGCACAGATTACAGCCATTGGGGTCTAACAGAATCAAAAAGTTCTATTGATTTTTTTGTAAATCCACTATTTACAGAAAAAGGAGTATTACTGTGCCTCTCTCACAAAGCAGAACTGCCCAGAAACCACTGCCTGATGAAAGGAGGTACTGTCACTTATGCAACCAGGGATTGATTTCAAGTGTTTAAATTTTTAAGAGGAAAGCACCTAGAAAACAGAGTTTAAACACTGTATGTTTACATATTTTAAAGCTAATTCTTTGCTTGGGACTTTTATGCCTTTGTATATCCAACAGGAAAAAATAGAGGAGATGCTAAGAAATCTGTCCTCTTCTGTACGCATGATAGAATGGTATTGATCTGTTTTCCTAAATTAACATTAAATATGAGCAGAAAGGGATCTCAAAAATCTCTGCCCTTTTGCTATTTTCACTCTGAAGACGAATTAAAGTATATAGTTTTGTAAATTTCAGGAATTAGTTTTGTAAAACTTGACCAATATGTTTTGTTCCTACTAAGTTAGCCACTTAAAATTTTGAAGTTCAGTAATACAGCTTGTATAGTGTGTTAGGTTTAAGTATGACTCTGTCTCTGAGGCATCACCACAATCCATTAAGCTCCCCTTATTTTCTGCCCATTGTAAGCTTAATATGTGATTCATCATTTTTCATACCACACAGGACAAAAAGGTGATCTTTTGTATTTGAATTTCTAATTTACACTCCTCATCTTCCATCTCCAAGCAGTAAATGGTGAAGAAGCTTTTTTTCCAGCTTCTACAACCCTTTTTTTTTTTTCCTGGGGAAAAAAAAGTTATATGTCAGGTCTCTAAGGATTTTTATGCTCTCTTTATCCCTTGACCCTATTTTCATACTCAGAGCTACAAGGAAAGAAACTATCCCACATTAAGAAAATATACTTGGAGGTTAGTAAGCATTTCAGTATGTAAATTATATGTCCTTTTCCCCAAGATCCACTCAAGTCTTTAGGGACAAGGGCAAGCAAGCTCTCAAAATGAAATACTTTATAATGGAAATATTCTATTCCACTCTTTTAGGTACTCACTCAAGGAGAAAACAACACAACTTCAAGTCTCTAGAGGAAACCAACACAATAAACTATACAGACAGTTTTAATATAAAGGGAGGAAAGCATTCTTGATAAATGAAAGACTTTGGAACTTATCAAGTAATATTTGCAAAGTTTATCTTTGTAAAGTATTTTGTAGTTATTAATTAAATCATGGCATCTCTTGTAAGGAAAATTGCATTGATTTTCCCACCATTGTAGATGCTGTTTTAATAAAGAAGAGACAAAAGCATGATGCTGAGGCTGGAGGGATAAAAAAGATATTTCTTTTAGGAAGGAAAGAATAATGATTGCCTTTGAACTTCAAAACTAATGGCACTTCTTCGAGAAAACAACACTACTGATGGAAAAGAAATTTTTCTGGTTTTGTTTTTCTTTTTTCTATTTCATCAGTCTTTGTTTTGTTGTCAGAGAAGAGTTATTGTTCACAATTAGAGATATAAGAACCAAAAGGGTTTACTGTGAAGCTATCAGTAATATTTCAACTCCAGAAACCATAAGGGAAATTGTATTTAAAAGCTGTCAAGAAGATGTGAAAAAAGAATTAAAGCAAGTCCTTAGATGGATCTAAATGCACTAGGCAAGGAGAAGACAATATCTCTAATTTTCTTGTTTGGGGAATGGGGTAGAGAAGGGAAGACAATAAAAGGGAGGATCTTCGTGGTCTTCCTAAGTAGCTTCTCTTTTTACCAGTGCAGAGAGGATACTGGATTAAATGGGTCACTGACAAGAAACACCTGTAGAACCTTTCTGGTCACCGAGCCTTCAGATCAGAGTGAAAACTTGTATTTTTAAACTGAAATACAGAGCTGAATACAGAGCAAAATAACTGTTGTCTTCCACAGGCATTATGTTTTTGTCCTCTAGTTCTGGCTATCTGTTCATATAAATGGGCATGTAACTAGAGATACCTGTAATCCTGTAAATTTATTACAGTATTATGATTGTACAGAACCATATTGCAATTGACTTCCTTGTAAGCCTTAAATTTACTAATTCACAGACATGTACATCAGGTAACAAACAATAGGCACGTGATTTTCATTCAAACTTCCTAGTTTTTCTGTCTGGCATCTAAACAAAAAGCCTCACAGCAATATAAGAAAGAACCCAGATTTAGTAAAGAGGGAAGAGGGAAATTAAGTTTTATTGTTATTTAAACATATGCACCCAGTTAATGTCCCTAAATCATATTGTTTGTGCTTCTGCATGCTTACTGCAATGCCGAGCTGCGGTACTTGCAGGTACAGATGGCCCAGCTGCCAGAGCCTCACTTCCTACACTTATCTGCCATATGCAAGCCTTTTAACTAAATCATTTTTAATAACTGAAGTGAGACAGAGAGCAACTAGTGTTTTGCTGTAGATGTGCACTCAGCAGAAACTCGAATTAACCTTCATGGTGCAGTAAATTAATACTTTCATTACTAGAGTGGTAGTAAGAACTATACTGTATCCACAGGAAGAAGCATCTTACCTGAATAACATGTTTCAGCTTGTCAATAATTTGACTTATTACAGGATCTGTTCCCTTCACTTTTACTTCTGGATTTGCAGACTGAGCTTTGATTCCAGTGCCAACCACACGGTGCGTATAGCTAGTTTAATACAGAAACACACATAAAAATGGTTTAGTAACTTACTCTACTCTCAGAGAGTCATCTTCTAATTTGTATTATCTCTCATGGCACCAGCATACCTCTTTAATGAGATGCATTAATTTTGTGCACATATTTTTCACAAAAAAAGGAACACAACAAAATATAATTACTACATTCCGCAAAGTTCTGTTATTTATTAGCACTTTAAGTTTACTGCAAACTTTAATAAGCAAAGTTATCTGCATTTTGTAGCATGAAAAATTCAGCCCTGTGCATGTCCTTTTGTGTGTGTGCAAAAAGACTGTGCTCCATTTTGATTTTGCTAAATACAATGGCATGATGATTGCCTAAATGTGTGACATTTCAGGTTTTTAAAACAAACTCCAGATCCCATACACGCTGTAAGTTCAGAAATAAACCTGAAGTTTTCTAGTGTTTGTATGAGTGCATGCGCAGACAGAATATTTATTGAAAGGTAACAGCCACATTGTGCATAAATTATTTAGCATTACATAAATTATATAAGCAAGAATAGGCCAAAATGTACTAGACATATAGATATATAAAAAGAAAAAGGAAAAAAAAGATACAAGCTGATTTTAAAAGTAACTCCTTGAGTAAGTAGAACATTTTTTATAATACAACAAAATTCAAAATACAGTAAATAAACTAACCACTGAGCAGGATTCTGTAGCTTATTAAGAAGCAATTCTTCATTCAACTTACCATACTATATGTAATACTCAAGTTATGCAAGAAAAACTGAGTATCTACCTTCTCATTACAGATATTGTACATTATGCAAATACTCTCCATATGCTATATTTTTTCAGCATACTCTATAATAGGATAACTCTATATGTCTCTGTCTCAAAAGTACTTTGCCAGATGTTTTGCTGCATGAAAAAGAAATGAAATAACATTATCAGAAATGTCTAATTCCTGCCTGCTGCATCCACATGTAAGCGCAGACAACACAGCATATTCAAATTTTGCAGAATTTCTTTCATCAAAATCATTACAGGTCCTCTTAACTCTACAGAAAAGCTTGTATATATGCTAAACAATGAATGCAGTTCAATAAAACAAGGTTGCCACATAACAACGATATTTTGTCCTTGATCTTTACTTAAATATCACCCTAAATGAGATTTAGGATATTCCTGAGGAAGTGTACATACTGAATAAATGAATGGCTCATATAATTGAAAAGGTGTTATTTTGGTTTACAGCAGACAACTTTCTGTGCTGTCTTGTAGCAATGGAGCCATTTTCCAGCTTGAAGTGATGGGGAAAAACTTTGTATAAGGGTGTGGACAAAACCCACAGTCTGCCTGCTAGTCTTGAGCCATTGTTAATGCAGCAATTTGGGCTGGGTCAACAAATCTTCTGGTAATTCTAAGTGTGAAAAAAATTAAAATTAAATATAAAAACCTTCAAAAAAATTCTTTGGCAATCATTTGTATAAAACAAAATATGTAAATAAATAAATAAATAATTCCAGCTGAACAATACAGCAGTGACCAGAAAAAATAACACACTAGTTCAATGCAACACCAAAATTCCTCTTCACTCCATAACACTATAAAAAATCTTGAAGGTTATGTCTATCCTTTCTATCCAGTGGTCCTGTTCTGCTTCACAGCATGCAAAATCCGTGTTCCCACTTTCTGTCACTCAGAATTCTTCAATTAACACCTTTTTTTCAAATGCTGCAAACCCAACTATTGCACATTTGCCTGTGAACTGCATAGCTATGAAAAAGAATACCCTTTCTGTTTGTTTTTTTTTAATTCAATGATACTCATTTCTCTAACAATGCAGGAAGAAATAAATCATGCAGAAGCTGGAACTTCCCTAGACTACAATTTTATTAGTTTAACACACCTGGGAATTATTTGGCAATGACTCATTCAAGACTATAATTTCTTTTTCAGCTACTTCTACAATGAAATCAGAAGTCTTGCACAGTTGAAGATCCCAATTAACATACAAGTTTATGTCAATAGAGAAAATACCAATCCTTACACACCAACTCACTCTATGGACCCAGTATTGGTATAATCACTACACTTTCCGAAGTTTTCTGGTAATCAAATTTACAAGATATTTACCACACTCCCACCTTGACTCTTAAAGGAGTTGATATTTCTCTCAAAAAAATCCTCATACTTTTGAAGTGATGTGTTATTATTCAAGCTTTGCAAAGTTTTTACTCCTTTGAGAGTTTTTAATTTTGTATTCCAAGACTTCAGTCTTGAAATTGATCCTTCAGGTTCTGGATGTGAATTCTCCCCCAGGAACATATGAGGAGCAACCATCACATATGGAAAATGAAGAGCTGAATTTCAAAAATTAAGATTAATTTAAATGGAATTTGATTTGGACGAATATTTTGCCTAAAATGTATTTGGTTTGCTTGGCAAAAGCAAAGCCCAGGGAAGGCTGCAGGAGTGGCTTCTGGGACAAGATGCCAGAAGTTTTCCCCATGTCCAGCAGAGCCAATGCCAGCCAGCTCCAAGACAGACCCACTGCTGGCCAAGTCCAAGCCCAACAGTGATGGTGACAGTACTCCTGTGATTTAAAATGGAGAAAAAACTGCTGAGCAAGAGGAGGTGGACGAGATGAAATGATAATATGAGAGAAACAGCCCTGCAGACCCATGGAGGGAGAAGTCTATGCTGGAGCAGGTTTGCTGGCAGGTGACACTTGGAAGGACCCACACTGGAGCAGCCTGCTCCCGATGTACTCCACCCTGTGGAAAAGACCCATGCTGGAGAAGTTTGTGAAGAACTGCAGCCTGTAAGAAAGACCCACATTAGAAAAGTTCATGGACAACTGACTCCCATGGGATGGACTCTGTGCTGGAGCAAGGGAAGAGTGTGAGGAAGAAAGTGGCAGAGACAGTATGTAATGAATGCCCAAATGTGAGTACAATCAATGTATTGAAGTAAATTAATACATACATTTGCATTTTTATTGTTATTGGAAATCCTAACCCATATTAAATTTGCTTTCACTGCAAGATGGTCCAGCTTTGACCAATTGACATTAAAAATTCTCATTTAATTTTGAGTTTGTTGTAATTATATGCTCTGGCAAGTCATAAGGCAGATTGAAAACCTTTTTTCTTTCTTCAGGTGTATAATAAGGCATTGACAAAACCTTATGAAATATTGTTTTATTGATTCTTCTAATAAAAGTAAGTAATGAAAGTCAACATATTTTTGTTTAATCTACACTTTGCTTGAAATGGTATCTTTTGCTTACAAAAATTTATAAATTACTTATAAGTCGTTTCATACTCCACATAATTGTGATTAATTAAAAAATGTCTATAAATCTAACATCTTCAAATACTCTAATGTAAATGAAATGATCTGTCAAAGCTAAACAGGCTATTGGGAATCAGCATGGTACACAAAGCTTCATCCCTGTAGACTCACATTTATATGCAAAATTTGTTTCCCTTTATTTGGGGGTGGGGAAAATATGAAAATCTTAGACTCTTGGTTTGAGAGACTTCATTCATTTTAAAGTTTTAATATGGCATTAATCACTTTCTGTTTCTCTAACTCCTAATGTACAAGTAATGGGAAAAATATTTTAAGGATCCCCACAGAGGTAGTCTGACTTAAGCAAGTGTTGCTCAGATTTGAATCCTGGGGAAAAAAAATGACTAATTTCTTGCTAGAGAAATAATAGACCCACCATCTGTGCTCATTTCTGTACAAACATGGTAATGTATCACATCACTTTAATAGGCAGACTTGGTCCCCAAGTACTATTCATTTTCATCAGCATTAGGAAAAAAACCCAAGAACCAATATATTTGTAGTTTATAAACATGTTTTAAAGTGATGAATAACAAGGTGCCCATTTTCTGAGCTCAATATATGAATATTCATGTAAATTACCTATTACTCTTTATTGTAGTTATGAATACAATTGGTGGGGTTTATTTTTGATTCTCTCAAGATCTCTGATAAAAGAGAAAATCATGCTTTATTTGCTATCACAAAATTCTTGGTACATGCAGTTAGAAAAACTATTAGAAGTAATAAATACACCAATTCTTGTATGATTCAGCCAGCTTGGATGTGGCACTTCAGGAATATCTGTACATGTATGTCCCTCCAGCACAAAATAATCTGTATTATTTTGTGATGACAACTAATACATCATTTTTACAGTCAACAACAGATTATGATTTTCCTTTTCGAGCTATTTTTTGGCACTTTGACCATCTTTCAAGTGGGCAATTAAATGAAAGTTGTACTATGACAGAAAAGCTATTGTCCAGAACATTCCTAAGTGTACTTGAAGTCAAGCCTCTCCCAAGAGACATGGTGATATTCTATACTTTAGCAATTTTAGCTGGTCAACCCATCCTGATGTATCTCTTTCAATTGCTACCATCACCACCTGTCACTGCCTTCTTCTGGTCACCAGTGGTGTTCCCCAGGATTCAGTATTCAGGATTCAGTATAATGGCCTTAAGATGTTCCTGTTGAACGTCTTTATCGATGGTTGGGAGAAGCAGCTGAAGTACAGCCTCAGTCAGTTCACAGATGACACCAAATCAGGTGGAGGTGTTGATCTGCTGGAGGGTAGGAAGGCTCCACAGAGAGATATGGAAAGATTCAAACAGTGGGCTGAGGACAATGCCATAAGGTTCGGTCAGGCCAACTCCTGAGTCCTGCACTTGGTTCACAGCAACCTCATGCAGCACCATAGGCTCAAGGAAGAGTGGCTTGAGAGGTGATCAGCAGAAAGGAGCTGAGGGATGCTGGTTGATGCACAGCTGAACATCAGCCAGCTTGTGCCCAGGTGTCCAAGCACTGACTGTCCCTCTGTACTCTGCACTGGTGAGGCCTCACATCAAATCCTATGCTCAGTTTTGGGCGGTCACATTAAAAAGGACATTGAGGTGCTGGAACATGTCCTGGAAAGGGCAGCAAGGCTTATGAAGGGTTTAGAAAACAAATCCTATAAGG